CCGACAAAGTGGTTCCAGTCAAAGTGGTCCTCAGAGCAATCAAAAAGAACCCAAGATCAACGTGGTGGGCTCCTAAACGATCGGTAGTGTCTCGGCAGGCTGATATATCAGGCACCGGCAATAGCACAGGACCCACCGAGCAAAGGGAATTATCCAAGACCATAAATTAATACCCCTGTGAGATGAAGAGTGCATAGGCGGGTTAATAACACGAGCCTCGATAGGTGTAAAGAGTCCTCTACAAATGAGACCAAAGGGAGAGAGACCTCGATCAAAGTAGGGGGCCCTGAACATCGAGTGTCTCCGTGCCTTACCTTATAAGAGCCCTAGCAACAGCACAAGGTCCTCCAAGCAAGTGGAAAGAATCCAAGACTTCTTTGAAGATTCCCTGAGCAACTGAGTGTATCCAGGCATGTGGGACCCCGGGAAAAGTGTGAGGGGCCTTTCGGGCGAATGGAAGGAATCCGTGTAGAAAAACCTGATCGATCATCAGTGCTCAGGCATGGAGGCAGATAGCGTCCCAACAGCACATTGGGCACTATGAGAAAATGCAGAGATCAAGGGCACGCGGAAAGCTTCTTAGCGGTCAGATTGACCCGGCAAGAGGACATAGAGGGCCACACCACCAACAGCGTAATGTCTCTTGACAGTGCAGCGAGCCCCAAGCATTCCCCCAAGCAACACTTTCTCAATCAGCGAAGAATGAACTTCGTTTCACTGTGTCTGTCCGGTCGGTTATGGGCGCCTTTGGAGCTTTTAGGTGTTCTCGGCATGGTCCATAGGGCATGGTCCTGTGCCTCCTCGCCTACCCCCCCCCCCCCCCCTCTGCATCCGCCACCTGCCCGAACAGCTGATAACATGGGGCCCGTCAAGAACATAAGGCCATTTATTCAAAGCAGAAATATTTACGACCCAACGTCTACTGCTCTGAACGATCGAATGCGCCCAAGCAAGTTAACATATAGGGCCCCCGTCAAGAGCGTAGGGCCCTCCATTCAAATAGGATGCACCCGAGACCCAATGTAGGGGGCCCCGAATGATCGAGTGTGTCAGAGCAGGTTAACATAAAGGGCTCCGTCAAGGGCCCTCCATTTAAATAACAAGTACCCAAAACCCAGTGCGGAGGACCCGCGAAAGATGGATTATACCCAAACAGATTAGCAGGTGGCCCATACAGGAGTGTAAACCCTAAATTCAAACACAAATACCAATATATAGGTGCCCCGAGCAATCCGGTGTGGCCGAAGCGGCGAATAGGTGGGGTCCCCAACAAGTAGGTGGGTCCTTCCATGTAGATAGCAAGTACCCAAGACACAATGTGGGGGGGGGGCGGGATATTCGAGTGTGCTCGAACAGGTTAACAGATGGGGAGGGCCATCCGTTCAAATATGAAATACCGACGACACGATGTAGAGGGTCCCGAATAATCGAGCGCGCCAGAGCAAGGTAAAAGACAGGGCCCCGAAAAGAGCATAGGGAACCCCATTCAAAAAGGAAGGGCCCAAAACCAGATGTAGAGGTCCCCCACGATCGAATGAGTCCGAGCATCTTATCAGAAGTGCCCTGACAGAAGCGTAAGGCGTAAGAATGCGCCCGGGTGGCCGCCAGCCAGATACACTTCGCTCGGGTGGGGAGTCAATTCCCCCCCCTTAGATCTCGGACACTAAGAAAGCTAGAGACACCAAATTTTCAGGGTGTCTTGACCTGTACATGAGCTCACTTAAGTCAAAGTTTGAGCTTCCTAGGTCATGACCTTCAGGTCACATAGGGCCAAGCAAGGTCAAATGCCAGATTGGTCTCCAAAGCGCCCCCAGAACCTAGGCAACTGTTTCAAAGCAAACGGTCACGAGCCCATTTGAGGTCATTGACCTTGTTTGACATTTTAAAGGTCACGGTGACCAACATGATACAAGATTGCTCCGAGTTTTGCATTTGAGTAAGCGACAATGACCGCGCTAGGCAGTACGTTCCCAAAAAAATGTCGGCCCGGGTCATCTTAGGTCAGTGACCTGTTGACCTCTAAGAAGTCAATGGAAGATGTATAATGCGGTTCCTGCTGTCACTTGTGAAATCAGCGCCAGAAACTATCCCGTACAGCAACCCCTAGAGTAATAAATCAAGTTGGTTTTGACCTTGGTCTGACCTTCATACCTGACCTTAGGTCAACGTAATCTGCTCATTCAATAGTTGTGGTGCCTAAGAAAGTATCTCAGAGATGTATGACTTCGTCAAACACTCCGTTGTTGTATCAGATTGAACGATTCCATACAAATTGCCTTTGCTGAAACCATGGCCTGACTTTGACCTGTCATAGGTCAACGAACTTACAAGGTACATACAGAAATGCATGTCAAACGATCCGCTATTCAATTGTCTAGAGCTCTGCAAAGTTTGGTGCGGCTACGCCGCACCGTTCGGAAACCATTTGGGAAAAACCCTCGGGCGGGGGGGGGGGGGTCAATTTGACCCTCATCGGAACGCGTGTTAAAGTAAGAAGTGCCCAAAACTCGGTGCGGACGGCTCCCGAAACATGAAGTGTACCCGAACAGGCTATCAGATGACACCGATAGAAGCAGAGGGTCCTATTTCAAACACAAAGAACTGGTGAGCAGCCCCCCCCCCCCCTTCCCCTCCCCTCAACAATCCAGTGTGGCCGAGGAGGCGAAGAGGGGCCCCCGACAAGTGTGCAGGGCCCATTCAAATACCACGTTCCCAAGCTCAATGTAAAGGGTTCCCGAATGATCAAACGTGCCAGAGCAGGTTATCCGGTAGGCCCTCCCACAAGAGCGTAGGGCCCCATTCAGAAAATAAATATCCAAGGCCCAGTGTGAAGGGTCCCCGAACGACCGAGTGTGCCCAAGCAGGGCATCAGATGCACCCCCGACAAGAGTGCGGGGCCGTGGACAACTGACAGAATTGGAAACGCCCTAGACCAATGTAGAGGGTTCATGAGCATGTGTCGGTAGGTGAACCGAAACCAGCGTAAAGGGCCCCTGAGCAACCGAGAATGCCCCAGCAGGTTAAGATATGGGACGCCGGGTATAGGAAGGGCCCCAACAACAGCGTAGGGCCCTCCGAGCAAATGCAAAGAAACGAAGGGCAACATGGAATGCTCCTTAACGATCGAAATGATAATTGCAAGTGGGCATATAGATACCTCGGAAACAGTATGGGACCCCTAGACGTCGTAATGGGGCCTTAAATTTCAAGTTCACAACTTTTCCAATGAATTCATGATTTTGTTGTTGTTGTTGTTGTTTTGTTGTGTGTTTTTTTTTTTTTTGCTTTTCATAGGCTCCTCACTCTCGCTCACAACTGCTTTGGTGGCCTGAAAAGCCAGAGATACCTAGTTTTGCTGTGCTTTGTATTAGAGAAACTTCACCAGTTCGGCCGGCTATGGGCCCCCTCGGAGCCAATGGCCCCTTCGGGGCCCAAGGGGGCCATGGCCCCATGCCCCCCCCCCCCCCGCCCCTCTGGAACTGCCCGTGACCGTGAACTGCATCAAAAGGTCCTCAAGATGGCTATCTGAGTTCAAAACCCCGTGTGAAGGTTGATCACCCCTTTAACCTTAAATGAATCCTGCAAACTAGTTATTACTATGGCTTAAAACTGAACAACGAAGCACTAACACACTTTAAGCTTTTGGGTACAAATCCTGATCAGTTTCCGCCCAGTTAGTTCGAACAGCAGTTGGGAGATGGCAGCACTTCCTGGTGACGGGGAGAGGCGGAACCTAAATTACGGCGGGTGTGCTGAACGCTAGGGGCGCTTACACTAGTCACTCTTTTGAAGCTAAAGCTAAAAAAGCGATGAAAGCTACCAGGGCAATGAGCGATGGAATGTTAGCATGAAAACCACCACCACATTGTTCCAAACGACAGAAAACTTGCGAGGCACCATATGAAGACCACGCGCGCACGCCTCCCACTGCGTCGCGAACTGCCAGGGCGGACCCGAGCTCGCTGCCAAATTGCTGCCATGACAAGCATCCAATATAAAATGCTCGTAGTGGATAACTGCCGACGTCGCTTGTATCGTTAGCATGCTGGCGACGCGGGGCAGGCCGGGCAGGGGGGGAGGGACAGCATACGAGACGTCGGAATACAAGGTGCAGTGTCTGTTCGGCTGTCGTCATGGTGCCCCATATAGACGATGGAAGAAGCTAACGCGCGGTAAAAGCATGACTCAAACATGATAGTGCTTGCGCACGCAACACGCACTTGTCTCGTATGCTACATACTGGCTTTTCAGATGAGCTAGGAACAGTTTATAAGATCTGATGTGCGCTGAACGTGAAGAACCATCCAGGTTTACTCTTGATGCCATGACTCGCACTCAACCACGCTTTGTTGCACGCGCTCTCCCAGCTGGTGGGAGGGCGACTGAACCTGCGAGTCAATGAAATGTGGGCTCCAGTTCAAGTACAACCACTTGGCTGAGCTGCTCTCTAAATATACTCCCACCTCTTCCCACCGGCCTTATCTGTCACGTATTACCCTTGGCGGTTTAATTACGATTACCTCCAGCAGTGGCCGGCGCTGAGCGATACAAACAGCCAACGGTCCGGTCACCAGTTCTATATATATATATATATATATATATATATATATATATATATATATATATATATATATATATATATATACAGGTAACTGGTATTGCCTACCCGATGCTGCAGGTTCGGTTAAGCTACCGCTCAGTTAAGACTCCGCCGTTGACTGCCCATAGGTTCAGAGAGGCAGGTGGGGAGGAAGGATACAACATCTATGAATCCGCTAATTCCAACACCGTCGAGCTTGGCAGTAGCATGTCCCCAGCGAACATGTACGCATATCCTTGCAAGTTTTGAGGCGTAAGCCCAGCCGACTACGCCCCTGCCGGCCAGCGTTTGCCCGCCACTGAGTGTCGGCCACGTCGAGACTGCACGCTCGCCGTTGGACACCGGCCGGCGATGCCGCCGACCGTTGGCTATGCAGACGTGTTCGACTGACACACGGGGATGCGTGGCCCAGCGGGCGGTGTTTTATGCGAGGCTCTTAATACATACACACAGAAGTGCTGAAAACGCCGAACACCTCAACAATACGCGCAACAGAGGCAAGTGACCACGCTTTACGCACGCCAATGATAGCAATGGCATCTGGGGAGTTTCCTGTCCCACTATGCTGCTACTGTCTAGCGTAACACTTGAGGAAGCGTAGACGACGCCGTGATTTGTGACAAACAATACTGCGACTTCTCTAGTCACGAACGTGCCGCCAGTCGATGCCGTGCCTCGTATGCCCATGGCGAACTAGAGTGATCACATTCCGGCTACGTTACGACCAGCGAACACGATAGTTATGTTAGCTGCATAAGTGTCAAAGAGCTGAAGAGCAGCATCAATCAGCGTAGCAGTGGTCACACGGACCTAGGCTACGCGCAGGAATCGGGGCACTGCGTACCGCACAGGCCGACCAGCAGAGTCCGTGAAGGTGAGGCCCGGCCCTCGCTTCATGAAGGTTGACAATCCCGCTTTTTACATCCTTTCCGTTTCGGTTTTGGTCTCAGTCATGCAGACCGCAATCATCGTCACCGACCCTTTAAGCCGACCTGGCTTCTATAAGAAATCGTTACCTTCGACGAGGCAACAATACTACGTTCGCTGCCTTCTACAAGCGCATTTCCGACTAGCAGCACGACATTAGGTCATCACGAGCTAAGCCTTTCGGTAAGCCACCACCGACTGTCTTCTGTTCCTCCACGTCACCGCGAGCCTCCCGCGCAGGTGGGCTCCCGTTCGCCCATACGGCCGCCGCTGACTGGCTGCGGCACTCTGACGTCACTGCCGACGCGCTCGCTTCCTGAGTCCGGCCACGCCCTTGCAGCGCGTGGCGGCGGCGTCCGGCGCGTCGCGACGAATGCGGCGCCGCCGGCCGTGACACTGGTCGTTGTGCTGGGTCATCGACGTCAGGTCGATGGTGTAGAGCTCGCCGGCCACCTGGACCTGCAGCGACGTCTGCTGCGCGACGAACGCGGCCTCGATCTCCTGGCTGGTCCGCTCGTCATACCGCCACCAGCCTGCGAGCGCGGACACGAAACGCCAGGTGACGGCAGGCTGACACGCTCGTCATACCACCACCAGCCTGCGAGCGCGGTCACACGGCGCCTGGTGACGGCACGCTGACACACTCGTCGTACCACCACCAGCCTGAGAGCGCGGTCACACGACGCCTGGTGGCGGCAGGCTGACGCGCTCGTCAGCCCGCCGTCCTGGCAGGAATGGGACAGCGAAGAGTCTCGGTGCGACAGCAAATGCCACAGGAGTCCCGCTCTTATTTGACTGCCACACAGTTGCGCAGCGTTCGGACGCGGCGCCCCGCCCCCACCGGAGGGGGCGGCGCGCCCGCTAGGCAGCAGCAGGGCTGGACTGACCGTTGCGCCCCCGGTACAGCCAGTGATGCTGCTGACTGCTGGTGTCTAGGCTCCGCTCCAGCTCGCTCTCGTCCAGCAGGCGAGGGTTGTTGAGGTAGCGGTCCGACACCTCGGCGCGGCAGTAAGCACACCTGTCGGCCCGCGCGTGCGTCAGCCGCGGTGGCCCGACCGGCCAGATGACGGCGGCGCACGCCTCGGGCGACACACCGCACCCCGCACGGAAGGCCGGTCATCCCGACAGTGAAACGGTCCTCATAGCAACACGATTCCGCGCAGCATGGCTGGATATTTCTCAGAACAGGGATGGGGGGCCAGCACCCTCTAAGTCCCACCTACCTAGCATGTACCAAAAGCCAAATGTTTAGGTTTCACAAGCCTAATGGCCAGACCACTCAACCTCCCCAGACCCGAGCATCTCAAGCCGCGGCGTGCCATACAAGATACCATCTATGGCGTCCGCCCTCCTATACGGACCGTTGTGACACTTTGGCTGCTCCCTTGACGCAGAGGAAGCAGAAGACGTGGCCGCAAGGCAGCTTGACTGGGTGCAGGCACTTCTCCAGGCAGATCCCGCAGTCGTGCTGCGGCGAAGCCTCGGACGCTGACGGCGCCGATCCCCCTGGAAACACGGGCTGTCGTACCACCGGGTGGGAGCCAAGCTGTTACAGTGCGCAAGGCAACTATGCGGCTCACGGCAATGCCTTCTACTTGCAACGATAATGCACTGTGACAGTAGGTGATCGCAGGCCCCTGATAAGACGTCGGCAATAACAATTTTAAGCTTCTCTGCCCCCCATCCTCCCAACCAGTTTCTAACTGTCCTGGTGGATGGGTAAAGTCTCGACAAACTCTTTGGGATGGTGATGCACGAATAAGAATAAAAACTTGTTGCTCCCAAGTACAATGGTTGTAACACACCTGATAATCACATCATCGCGGATGATTGGCAAGCAGACAAAGACATTCTCACACAATTAGAATACAGCTTTGGGGATCAAGTTAACAGCCTTACCCAGTGTTTTCTTCTCACCTGCTGGTGACTGCACAACATTGCTCGCCGCTGATCCGGCGGCATCTGGCGGGGACGACGGACGACCGCCTTCTACTTCCCCGCCACCAGAGGCGCTGTCTGTCTGTGGCCGACTGCTCGACCCTTCAGCCTGGGAGGCCGACGGCTGACTAATTCCCGTTGCAACCTGGCGGCCAAACATAGATTTACGCGTAACGACGCCGACCGGGAGAATTAGAGCCTCACTTCGGGACAGCTCGTCTGGTTAACAAAAAATGATGGAAGGGGTGCCGGTAGTGTAGTGGTTAACGCGTCTGCGTTAACCACTGCGCGTCTGGGAAACCAGAGGTACGGGGTTCCATTCCCCGCGGTGCCCGCCCTTCCTGCCAGGGTGAGAGGCAGGCGACGCCATATGGCCTCAGCAGCTGAGTGCGTCGTAAAGCCCCAATAACATGACATGACATGATGGAAACTGTGGCGTCCATTCTGATAGCTCAGTTGGCTGGAGCGCCTGCCTTCCGATCCATCTCCCCGTGGCACGGTGGGTTCGAATCGCTCTACGCGCCGCTATTTGTCTTTCACATACATGGCTTGCGGCCGGCGCCAACGGCCGGTGTCAACGGTCGCGCTAACGGCCAGGTGACGTCAGAGGGTAGGACAGATCGAGCCGAGCATTGGGATACATTCAACTTCCGCCACCAAATTCTGCCACTGACCCGGAATTTCGCGATCGGATGGATGGGATCAGGGCTCATGCAACAAGCACTGCCTAGCATGAGCTCTTGCTTCAACAAAATCATCCAATGAAGAGGTGCAAAATGTATACATTTTTTAAAAAAATGATGCCTTTTATGCTTGTTGGTTACCCAAAGTGCCACATTAGAGATACAGAAGTCCAACTCTAAATTTGGGGGTGCAGCTTCTACAGTTTAGCAAATGGTGCATTGCAAGCTTGTGCAATTAACAAGCTTGCATTTGCTCTAGACTGAAACTTGTGATACACTACACAATTAAAATGTTTCTGATATCAGTTCTTCTGGTACTACATGCCCAGTGTAGCTTTTGGTGATTTACCGCGGGCGTGTCACATCCACTGGAACCACTGCATCCTAGATTGGTGGGCGGCACCGAGCCGGCGGTGGTGTGCTGCGCCAACGAGCCGTCCCCATCGCTGCCATGGAGACCGAACACGCTCTGACCGCCAGCCGACCGGGGGGAGCGGCGAGTGCCGCGCCGGGTCTCCCGCCTGGCGCCCCCGGTGGCGCGGCCGCGTGCAGCCGGCGGTGGTGGTCCGGGCGCCGCCGCCGCCACCTGGGTGGAGCCTGAGGTAGCTGAGTCCGGCTGGCTTCTGGAGTCCATGGGCTCAAATGAGAGGGCTTGATGTGCTGCAATGTGGGGCCAGCTTCTCAAATATGGGAATGTCTGCAACAATGGCATGAAGATAAGCACTGAGATTTTGATAGGATCCTCATAAGCTGATGCCTCAAGCAAACAGCTATCTATCATTTTTTCTTAATAATTTCATCCCAGTCATTTGATGGTTGGATAGATTGTACCTTCACATGCATTTTTCAATCTTCTTCTTGAAATGAGCAGAAGCTAAAAACCAGCTTTTCTGCCCTGACAAATAAGTATCAACTGATAAATATGTGTTTCTGCTTTGACATATACAACTGAATCTGCCACTTGTCCATTCTTAAAAAAACAAAGCTGTAAATATCAACATGGTATAGGTTTACAGCAGTACTTAATCATAAAAAGAGCATTGTACATCAGTTGTCATTTTTGAGGCAGAACACATCATAAATAATCATAAAACAGGCACATCTATACTCTTACCTTCTAGCTTAAATAATTATGACAGCAAACATCTGAACACCACAGACGCACAGCAACTGCGACCCCGGCGCCATTGCTAAGCTATTGGTATGTGGTCACAACCTTACTGGGCATCAAGAACCAAACAAATATAGGGACCAAGGTAATAAGAATGCAATGAAATATGTTTCTTGTGTCCAAGCAGTCAAGTGATATTGCATCATTGGAGTGGCATGAAGTGGGATCATTTCGTGACTTAGTATTACTGGATTTTGAGCCCAAGGGCCCAGATGACCTAACCTAACCTAACCTAACCTAACCTAACCTAACCTAACCTAACCTAACCTAGCCCAACCAAACTAAACCCAACCCAGCCCAGCCCAGCCCAGCCCAGCCCAGGCCCAGGCCCAGGCCCAGGCCCAGGCCCAGGCCCAGGCCCAGGCCCAGGCCCAGGCCCAGGCCCAGGCCCAGGCCCAGGCCCAGGCCCAGGCCCAGGCCCAGGCCAGGCCAGGCCAGGCCAGCCCAGCCCAGCCCAGCCCAGCCCAGCCCAGCCCAGCCCAGCCCAACCTTGCCTAGCCTACTTACCTTGCCAGTGTCTGCCATTGTTATCATATGGATCATATGTTGAGGGTACAGTGACAAGTTGTCCTTGAAATGTTCCTGTTTTATGATTATTTATGGCATATTATATCTCAGAAACATCAATTGGTAGATCACTTAAAATCACAATGTCAGTATTACTAAGTATAATACATCCAGTAATGCTAAATCATTGGTGGTATTGGTGAACTGTCAATATCATAAATACAGTAATACTAAGTCCCTAAATGATCCCACTCCAATTCATGCAACTCCAATCATGTAATATCCATTGACTGCTTAGGTATGTAGCAAGCATATTTCATTGCCTTCTTGCTACCTTGGCCCAGTACATTTCTATGGCTCTTGATGCACAGCAATGTTGTAACCAGGCACCAATAACATAGCGATAGTACCGGGATCATGTTTGCAGCACTCAGATCTTCTGTATGGTAATTATTTCAGCTTGAAGGTAAGGGCATAGCTGTGCCTGTTTAATGATTATTTATGATATGTTCTGCCCCAAAAATGATGATTGATGTAGAATGCCTTTTTTTAACATTAGGCACCAATGTATACCATGACCACCAATACTTACTTTTCAGGTGGCTTAATGGCTGACTTTGTGCACAGCACATTATGTCAGCAGAGACCATTGCATGTGCCCTGAACTCACCACTTAAGAAACAACAGTTCAGTTTACAGCAGATCACCTCCAACCTAAATGCCAGACAGAATTTTGCAGGATATGATATGCATAACAGCACAGCCACCTGCTAGGTTAGCCACTCTCTTTGACCAGTTACTAACATACCTTTCTAAATATGTTGGGCCCAGGAAAATGCATTGAGAGTAATGGAGTAGCTGCTCCAAGGATACTGTGCAATACCCTAAGCTAAGAGAGACAGCAACATAAATGACATGTATGGCAAAAGCATGGTTATCAAGTCATTTCTATGTACTTAATATTAACTCCATAGAACTAAAGAACTGTTAACTGCTTGCACTCTATGCTACTGGGGCCACTCCTCGCTATCCATACAAGGTAATAAGCAATGGTTTTTAATTTTGCAGCCAATGAAACAGTAATGCCCTGTTATAATTATGCCACTGCATCCTTGCATATGTGCAGATTATATGACAAGTTTTGTGCATTTATGCTGCTTATGCAGAATCAATGGCAACTCTTAGTTGTGTCACACAGGATTCATTAAATTAATGTTTGTTGCTCCAAGCAGCACAATATCAATTTAAGTTAACTCTGCTTTTCACTCAATTAAATGCTCAACTGCAAAGTAGTCTAGATGGGGTTAGTCCTGGAGACATGGTACGGAGAGCTCAACAACTCTGTGGGCTAAAAAAAGTCCCACGCCGACATTTTTTTGGTTAACAGGAACTGAAAACAGCATATCAAGCATCCAATATTCAGCGCACATGAGCCACGATACTAACAACGTAGGACATACTGTCGTTACATGTCAGGTTGTGACATCTCACCAGTGATTCCAGCTCTTAACATCCCCTTAAGCCTCAGTCCAACTCACATTTCAGCGTTAGGTGGAATCAATTCCACAACTTCCCTGCATGCCGCACGTTGCTTTCGACACGCACCACCGCGTACCTCCCGTGCCACCGTAGCGACGCCGACGCGTGCAGTCCCGTGACGATGGAAACCAGTCTCTTCATGTTTCTTTCCTGGTGCGCCGTTTTAGGTCTTATTTTAAGTCGACCTGTTTCTTTTTTCTTTACGCTCCTCCTGACGGACCCAGCCTGCGGCCGTCCGGAGAGCATGCGATGGAATTCCTGGCATGCATTCGATTGAACACACAGGGGTGTAGAGTCTTCTTCAGTCAGGTGGGGTTCAGCCCTCCTACCTCGGCTCCAGCGGCCCCCAACGCCGGGGAAAACTGAGCCAAGTCTGGGGATAAACCTGTTTCTTGGCATTTGGGGCGGGTTGGGTCATCTTTTAATGTCCATCCCTCAAACTCATTTTTAGAAACTGCGCCTATGTCCACAGATGTTGCCCATATCCCCAAGCTGGATCCAGACGGTGCGTAGTCATGCAAAACGAGCTGGAAGCTGAGCTGCAAAATGCAACCCACCGCAAAATACGCCAGGCCTTTTTTACTGCCCAACTTTGTTGAGTATTTCACTCGCCACGGTGTGAGACTCACTTGCCGCTGGCGTTCGGCATTGTGCGCACAAGCGGGAAGGAGCACAGGCGCCGTCCTTCGTGTACGGCTCTGACCCGGTTGCACCCGATGCGACGGGGTGGTTGTTTCGGCAATCTGTCGCCATGCACCTGTAGGCGGCGAGCACCTCCGTAGACGGCGCCACCACCGTAGCCATCATGAAAGTTGTAGGCGCCACTGAAAATGCGCCTGCCGCCCAATCCGCTAGATGTCGCCGTGTCCTACGCAGTATCAGATTTCACTTGGAATTTGTCACGTCGACTCCGCCAGCTGTACCTGCAATCTTTTCCTGCCGTTTAAATCATTTATCCACGCCGACAGAGAAAGTTCTACCTCGTAACGACCGTTCATTTGGCGAACTGTTTCACAATGTCTCATAGGCCTTTCGTCAGCGGCGACAGTTAAGCTCTGCAAACATCCGCTCCCGCTCTCACGCCACGACACGCGCGTGCGACGGTCGGGTCACTCGCTGCTCCAGTCACTGTCGAATAAACCTTTACTGTTAAGATACTCGCTCAAGTGTTAGTGCCCATACGCACGACAGTCTCCAGGTGAGGCGTCCTCAGGACGCACTTGGGCCGGTTGACCACGATGCGGTAGTCGTTGAGGCGGGAGAAAACGTCCCGGAGTCGGCGCTCGTGGTCGCCCAGGGTTACGCAGGCCACCAGGATGTCGCCTATATGCACGAAGACGCCGGGTAGTCTGCGGAGGACCTCGTGGGTCGGCTCCACTGGAATTTTGTGAAAGGCTCGGGAGAGGTCCAGCTTTGAAAAGAAACTGCAACCGTGTAGGTCTGCAGCGAAGTCCTGGGGGCGTGGCACAGGATAACAGTCCGGGATGGTGACTGCGTTAAGGGCACGATAGTCGCCGCAGACCCGCCAGCGGCCTGACTGACCTTTAGGCTCCAGGTGCAGCGGGGTCGCTCAACTGCTCTTGGAGGGACGCATGGTGCCATCTTCGAGCAGGTGCCTCACCTCGGCTTTGGCAGCGGCGAGGCGGTCAAGCGCCAGTCGGCGCACTCGAGCCACCTTGAGCGGCCCCCTGGTCTCAATGAAGTGTGTGGTTCAATGTTGACCTGGAGCTCTGGCAGATGGCGGCGAGGTCAGCTCGAGAAGCTCGTCCCAGAGCCGGGCCAGGTGGTTGGCGCCGAGCCGCAGTTCCTGCAGGCTGTTGGACCGGGGAGAATGGGAACCCGTCACCAACACGTTACCAGAGGGCAGTAGCAGCGTGCGGGCGCATAGGTCGACCGCGAGCTCATAGTGGTGGAGAAAGTCAGCTCCGATTATTGCTGCCTGGACATCGCAGCCAGGAACCGTCATGTGAAGCTGCGGTCTCCCAGCTTGACGTCACTCGCAGTGAAGCCGTGGGTGGTCCCTGCGGATCCGTCGGTTGCGGCGATCCGTAGGCTGGCGGGCTTCGGCTCAGCTTCTGCGGGCAGCTGCGAAGTCGGTAGGACACTGACCTGCGCGCCAGTATCCACCATGTAGGTGGCGTCACTGTCGCGAACATGAAGCAGCCGCCCCAGAAGACGGATGCCTGAGGGTTGGGGCGCAGGTACACTCAGGCCAGGTCGTTTCCCGCCCAGGAGCAGGGGGCCTGGCACTTCTTGGCTTGAGCGCCAAACCGTGCGTGATAATAACAGGCCCCACCCGCCGGACGGGATGGTGACCCATCCCCCCCCCCCCCCTGGCGGCGGTAGCTGGGTCGCCCACGGTTCTGTTCAGCACGTGGCCTTCGAACTCGGTACTGCAGTCAAAAACGACACGGATCTTGTTGGCCTTCTGCGGGCGATAAACAGCATGGTGGTGATGTACCACACCCTACCGTTGTCGAGCTTCAGTTCGTCGCTGGGAACTCCCTCTGCATACCCCTTTGCTACAGTTATTTCCATGAATCCAGTGTAGCCTCGGCGATAGGACTCATTTCGCACGAGTTTCGACTTCAGCTCTTTCAATCGCTGCATTGCCACAGTCTTCTTGTTTGGCAGGGATATCTTGTCACTTTTCAGTGGAAGCGGAATTTCAAAATGGCCATCTTCCCATTGCCAGGTCCCCTCCGATACCTTCTTCCCATTGCCAGGTCCCCTCCGATACCTTCTTCCCATTGCCAGGTCCCCTCCGATACCTTCTTTACGAACTGCTGGTCCTGGATCGACAGGTCTGTCTTGTTCTCGCGTCTAGTTTCCTGAAAATCTGACTCAAGCAGTTGCATCACTCCCAGTCGGCTAACCTCACGTACCTGAGACTTAAAGGCGAAGTGGCAACGTTTTTGGTGCCCTTCACCTGTGTGCACCAGATGACACGTTCCTTTGTCTCCGCTGCTTCCAAAGAGGCATCCAACGATGCCCCATTCCAGACGTGTCCTGACAGCCCAGGGTTCGTCTTTTTCTCCACAAACAGCCTCCAGGGGCTCAATGGTACGCGAACAGTCCATACCCAGCGGCAGGGCCACTGATGCATCTTGGAAGAACACTGACATCTTGTCAGCTATCCCTACCAAGTGCTCCCACTTCAGGGCTGTCTCTCTTTTGGGGATACCTCTCTTGGAGCATGGGATTTCAGGACGAGTATATGCTAATGGAAACTTGATGACGTCATCTGCTGTCAGTGGCCGAATCGGCAGGCCTTCAACTGCTTAACTGTCAATGGCAGACTTGTCTGCCATGGTGCTCAGCTGCAGCTTTGTTGCTGTACCTTTAACATTTAGGGTTTCGCAGGCTGACTTGGACACAAAACATGCATCTGACTTAGCGCCAAGTAGAGCATACACTAGCAGTTGATGCTCAGCACACACTAGCAGTTGATGTTCAGGGTTGTTAGCGTGACTCAGCAGTACAGAACCAGCGAGTTAGTGAAACGTTTTCCTTCAGTGTCTACCACAGAGCCCGAGCGGAAGGACGTAGTCTGCGGGGCACTGTCAATCACCCTCTTTCTTCCATCTGTGTGCGTCTCCAGTTTTCTCAGAAATGATTCGTCATGTAGCACTGTGGGGTGCCATCTGCCACATTCATCACCCTTGGCCTTTGAACGACATCTTTCACTTGTGTCCTCTCCTCAGGCAACCTCTACATAAGCCCAACTGGTTCACCACGGTGCTGCGTTCACCAGCAGTCATCCTATTAAAAGTGTCACAGTCCTTGATTCCATGTTGTTTTTGACACCACACACAACTGGGGACTCGTCTTGTGTCCTTAACTTCGGTTGAGGACATGAAAGTTCTGGCACTGTCTCGAGTCATCCTCTGTTGAGCAGTTTGCTTCTCTTCATGTGTAGGTACATCCACTGGTCCACAGACTATCCTTGCTTCGACACTGACAAAGCAAACAAACTCAAAGAAGGGTGGATGTCTCCCTGCGCCTTTTCCACCGTAGAACCACGTATCCACTTCTCTCTTCCATCTGTCCACCATGTACTTTGGCAATTTTCTCACCAACATCTGGATCTCCAGGTAGTCATCCAAAGCTCCCAAATGATGAAGAGAACTTACTGCTGCAGCTTGGCAGTGCTCCAGGAAGTCAGCGAAATCTCTGAGAGCACGCCCATCTTCTTTTTTGATCACAGGCCAGTCTCTTGTCTTCATGTGGTAGGCATTTGACACGACAAAGTCATTTCCAAGCCTGTCTGTCAGTCTTTCTGTCGTCTGCTAGAATGCTTCATCTGTTTTGAACTGTAGCGGACCCAGAATGTCTGTTTTAGCCTCACCTGTAGTATTTTTCCTCAGGAAGTGAAGTCTTTGAATGGGAGAGCTTGTTTGATGTTCAATGTAAGTATCAAATGACTTGAGCCACATTGGACACTTTTCCACATTGCCCGTGAGGACATCTGGTTCCAGCGTTGGGAAGTCGCTGCCATTGTACCGCTCAGTGAGCAGGTATGTGGGTCTGTGCGGCATGCCTTCAGTCTTGAACCTTTCATCTTCAGCTTGAGGATTGGCTGTCTCAACATGGACAGCGTCAAGACATGTGCTATCAGCATGGTGAAGTCTGACATCAGTTGCTCCACTTGTCACAGCACCTACATCAGTTTCAGCACTTTGCACGATTGGCTTAAATCTTGGCTCTTCTTGTCCATCCGGATCAAACAGGTCAACCACCTTCAGTTTTGCTTCACTGATCTTCCTTTCGGTCTCTATCTCTAGTTCCTCTTGTTCCAGCAACAGTTGTTCTCGTTTTTACTTCAGAATCAGTCTTTTCTTGGTCGTTGTAGCTCTTCCCTCCAGCTCAGCTCTTTCTTGCGGCATCTTCAGCCTCATCAGCACAACATGTGACTTCACTTCGCCTCTAAATCGTGATATCCGGCTCGAATATGAACTGCTGACTTCAGATCTAGCACTAGCTTGAGATGAAGCATACCAACAGACGACAAGTGGGCTTCCAGCTTACCTTTCAATTCCTTTACTTCCGCAAGATTTGTGGCATGCTTCTCTTGCAGGTTTTCTCTTTC